TCCTGCATGTTCAGCATTGATGCCCTCCTCTCATCGTTCCCACTCAGGGCTGCCTCCCAGATGATCTCTCTGCTTGTCTGACTTTCCACACTATTTCTGATGCTGTCATCACTTCTCTCCCTCTTGAGCTCCACGACCCTGCTGCAGCTTCCATTCTCTACCTCAGGTGGTTAGCTGAATATGTAATACAGATATGCAATTCCATCACACACACATGCACGCACACACACGCACACACACGCACACACACACACACACACACACACCCCTCAGTAAGATGGCTTAGCCTAACCATCATCCATTTAGTGAGGAGAGATCAGAAGACAGAGTCTGACCTCAGTTGGACTCAGTTCCTGAGTTCAGCTCTGGAATAAGCAGTTCATCAAGCTGACACATTGAAAAGTAGAAGGTTTTCATCCAGCCTGTGCTGACTCTGGCTACCTACTTTATGTCCACACAAACCATGGTTGCTACACCATCAGGCCATTTAAAGACAATTGTGAATTGGGCTATTGTTAGAGTAGTAACTACTCTATGGGCCCACAGTGCTCATCAGGCCACGTGGAGAGGTCTCTGTGGCACTACCTCAGTTCCTTTAACTTTATAAGATTTTCTGTGGATTCCCACAAAGCAGCTCTTCCCCACTGACAGTTGGACCTGTATGTGATGGCCAAGTTACCTGAACTGTGAGAGGAGCTTGGACCCAGGATGACAGCTGAGGCAGGTATCTTCCTGTAGCCTTTCCCTCTCTGCTGGTGGGGTCATGATAATGATTCATTAGGATTCTATATCACTGCAAAGGCCTGAAGTAACAGTGCTTGAGAAGAATAGCTGGCTTCTTCCACCTACCCACCTTCTCTTATGTTTGTTTCTTTTCTGGACCAGGACTCTGCCCTTCTTATTATTTGCCATTTAGCCCTACTGCTTAGACTGAGCCCACCACACATTGCCCTCCTGAGGGGAAATGCAAGCATACCCTGACCTAAGAGTTTGGGGCCCCAGAGATGACCGGGGAGGAGCTTTCTGATAGAGTGCGTGTTTCCTGTGTGGACTGGGAAGCACTGTTTACTCAGTGCTGACAGACACATGCAGGATGGTGTAGGGGATCACATCTTCACCTGCAATCTCCTGGTAGTGCAGCCAGCCGGGTGAAGCACTAATGAAGCAGGGCAGGAAGTGGCAGCAGACAGAGCTCAGCTGTGAAGCATGGCCTCCTAGCTGGGAAGCCGGGGCACTTTGAAGAAGACAGCTGCAGTTTGATTTTAAAACCCTAGCACTGCCATCACTAGACATTCATCTGTCAGCACACAGGGGACAACATGTGGGGAGCAGTTGTGCCTGGTCAGGCCAGAGGAGAGAGAAGTGCCTGGCTTCCTGGGTAACTAACTACCAAAAGTCCATGGCAAATGATACTGTCTACTTGGCAAAGGAATTGTAAAGCGAAGTGGGCTGGGTCTGTGGGCTGGGTGGTCCTCACTATGTGAGACTACCGAGGCTGCAGGGTACATGCTAGGCTCCAGCTGTGAGTTGACTAGTTGTTCCAATGGCTGGGAGAAGCAGGCTGCCCTGCTGTACTGCCTCTTGTGTGCATTCATGAAAGGAGCTGAGCTTTGCTTGCCTCTGTTGGGGCCTGTTTCCCTCTGTTTGCCCTTTCCTCTTTCCTGACTTCCAGTTGTTGGGCTTACCTAGTGGTATTACTTTCAGGAAAAGAAATACTTGTAACCATTGCCTGGGTTTGTTTATTAAGAGTCCTCTAATCTGTGTGGTTTTCACGGGAGAGGGATTCCTTGTTCTACTCTAATGGCTTTTAGCTCATGGAGATTTATTTAGCAGAAGAGGAAGAGAGCATGTTATCTAGTACCTAATCCCTTTTGAATGTTTACATTGCTTCGCCAGAGCTAGCGCTGTGGAGAGTGGCAGCAGCCATTTGCTCTGGAAGAGTCCATATGTGGCTGCCAGAGATGATGGAAACATATAAACATAAGTGATAATACTGTCATAGAAGTGAAAAGTTAAGTTGCTTATCAGTATATTTTGATAAGCTACTTAAATTTTACAGTAGCATGTTCTGGCTTCAGACAGACGTCACAGATAGGAGCTTGTGCACTTTATCTGTCCTCTCTATTACCTCTCACTTCATTTATTACTCTCAGGGATCCAACAGTAATCTGCACAGGGTGCTGATCTCCTTTCCCAGGCAGGATGTCACATCTGGGCCCTGCCTTGGGTCCAGCCCTATCTATCAGTAACGGACTCCATTTGCAGATGTGAGCAAGCCAGAGCAGCAGGCTTCTTTCATGCCTGCTTTCAGAAGTTTGGGGACGGTTTCTAAGAGAGAACAGAGCCATTTAAAGTGTGTGTGGGTGGGGTGGGGTGGGGTGGGGGTGGAGGGCAAGGTATGCTTCTTGGGAGTGGGAGATTCTTCTCACTAGCTTTTCCATGGCACTAAAGGGCCCTTGCTGTCTGCTAGTCTTCATCTAAGTGTGCATGTGCACGCGTGCGCTCTGTGTGTGTGTGTGTGTGTGTGTGTGTGTGTGTTTCCCACTAATCTCTGAACTTAGAGTGGCCACATTCCATTCTTGGTTTGATGCTGAGGAAACAGTGAAAAAAGGTGTGCTCCCTTCTCTCTGTCAGTATAGTCTGTTGAGAATACAACCATGCTGTTGAGTGTTAAGCTGTAGGAAGGGACATTGTAATAGCAGTGTTTACATGACCACCATGGAAGGAATTGGGGCACAAAAGTAGGTTCAAGAGGGCAGGAGGCTATTAGAAGAATGAACAGAAATCAACTAGACTAGTTCATGAAGGCCAGAGGGTGAAGGGCTTGAGCAGGCTCAGATATACCTAGTGTATCCATTGTAAAGCTGCATGTATCTAGAGAACTGAGACAGTTGAACAAGATCCTGAGAAGAGAAAGACAAACCTTCCTGAGAAGCATAGAATGCTAGGTCCTATAGCAATGGGACGTCACTGCAATAATTAATTGTGCTGTGCAGAATTGGGTTTGTTTTGGGGGCAGGGAGGTAGCCAGTTCATCTTAATGCGTTTCTTAGTAACAGGTATCAGAATGGGAAAGAACAAAAGAGGGTGCTGGGAATCATATCACTCCAAGGCTCAAGCTTTCCAGAATTTCAGTTTTACATTCTCTCTGGGTTGTATGAACTCTGCTCAGGCAGATGAACAGGAGGTGTTAGGCTATGAATGTAGCCTAAAATGGGGGCCCTATCCTGGGTAAGAAACAAGGCAGGCTGAGGCCTAGGAGGCAGGGATTCCCAAACTCCTGGGTGTCCAGTCACACGCAGCTGGAAACCTTGTGGAGTTGGGAACCAAGGCTGCGTGTGCCTGTGACAAGCCTGGGGCCAGGGGTGAGGGAGAATCTCTGACTTAGCTCAGGGATGAGTGTACAGGAATGTGGAGGGGCCTTCTGCAGGAGACTTAAGCAGCACAGCTCTGTATGATGAAGGCTCCCCCCACAGAGGTTCTTGGTGAGAGAGACAGTCCTTGCTTGTCCAAATTGTTTGATGGTGAAAATGGATGCATACAACTTACTCAGAGTGGACCAGAGATTAAATGTCTTTTGCAGGAAGGAATGTTTGGAAAGGGAAGCTTACTGACTAAACCCTTAGGATGGTCCATCTAGATACCTTATTGGCATGGAGAACTCCATGCTATATGACTAGTGGTCACAATCTTCATGTAAGGTGTTATGGTCACGTGCTCTAGGACATTAGCCAGGTCAGGAGCAGATGAAATACCTACTGGTCTCAGTTATGAGAATACCGGAGTTTCTGAATCTGTTCGTTCAGTCTTCTCAGTTTTTGTCTGGTGACACGGTTCCACTTAGCCCACACAGAATCCCTTGTTCTTCCTTGCTTTGGACACTTGATGTGGGAAGTGAGAGGGCAGAAGCTGGGCATGATTGACAAAGCTAAGGAATACAGAAGGCACTAGTGGGTTATCTCTTGGGCCTGTGGAAGGAGTGGGCTTGAGACCAGAAGTTCTGTAACATTTTTGCCTGGCCTCAGTCCTTTCCTTTCCCTTGCTTGGCTTTGTTCTTCACTTGGCTTCCCAGGTGGCCTTCAGGCACTGAGTGTTGTACCAAACCTTCTTTACGATGCCTCCTTGGGCTTTCGAATGCTCTGAGTCTGGGCCCCACAGGTGCCCTTGCAGACCCATGCCTAGGTCCTTGCTGCTGGGTCACAAGGTCTCCAAGTCTGCTACATGCACTTGCCACTCCCTATCCCCCAGACCATTCTTCTTCATTTTGTATTTTTGGTAATCAGAGGAGTTGAGTGTCAGGAAGGCAAGAAGGACTAGGGGAAGAAACCTTAGGCTTCATCTCGTTGGCTGCCTGTGCAGCTTTGCCCTCTCTGGCCAGCCCCATCCAGACTTGCATTTTTGAAAGACTGTTCTGATAGCCATACGAAGGATCAATTTAAGACTGAGCTCTTGAGGCAGACCATCTTGTGAGTTGAGGAGAACAGTAGTCAGAATGTGCGAGATGGCAGGGAAACAGAGTTATCCATATATGCTGCAACCAGTATAGCACAGGTACAGTAGTGGCAGAAGGTCTGATTTTATTGTCCAGAGCATGCGGGACATTTTGCAGAAGACGACAATGGGCATGCTGTGTATTGCCATGTGTCCAGTAATGAAGACTAGAGTAGATATATTTCTAAAGACTGTGGGGATGGTGGGAAAGGCCTGGCTACTAAAACATAGTGCCTGATTGCACTGTAGTTTGAATTTCTTCTGTGTGAACCAGGTCTAGTTTTGAGGCACAGGAGTAATTCATAATGGACAATTAATGTTCTGCTTCACAAAGACATGTTTTTTTAAAAGCCCAGAAATAATTAACATTTAACCAGTTTGGATTTTAGCAGCCTTGGCTACAATCTTTAGGATGTAGAGAAAATGTGAAATCTTTTAGGTTGAGTTAAATCCTCTTCAAGTTTTTGTCCTGCATACTAATACTTCTTGTGTTTCTTTGTCTTCCTCAGCTACCTTCCCTGGTTCGAGGTATTTTATAAACTCCTTAACATCTTGGCAGATTACACGACAAAACAACAGGTATTTGCCTTTTTACAAAAGTAAATCTTTTTTAACAAGTAAACTTTAATTTTTATGATTATGAAAGTAACATGTGCTTTATGTTTCACTAAAACATTTATGAAAAGTAGTATATGCCTATCATAGAAAGTGTGGAAATTCAGAAAATAGTAGAAGAGAAAAGGAAATCAGCTCTTACTCAATATGTCTTGCATCATCCATAAAATAAACATAGCTAAAGTTTTTCTTTGTTTCTAGCCTAATCTCTCCTGAGATTAGGAAATAATAGTTGGGGTGCTTCTGATCACAGTGTTAATGTCACATTTTCCCAACAACCCTGAAAGTTCACAATGTATATGTCTCAAAGGCAAAAGCTGAATGAATTGCTTGTACCATATAACAAATCACTTAATTGGCAGGTGACTTATAAACTGCCTCAATTCCCATTTTGATAAAGCTTTGTGGTATTTTTATACTGATTTTTGTAAGGGTCTGAAATTACTTCCACAGTATTTTCAATAGTGTGCCTTCTAATTACTTGAGATTTTTGTTTTCATTATAAGAGGAAGTACAAAAGACTGGGGAGCTGCTATACCTTAATCAATTTTGGAAGAAATGGTATGCTAACCTCAGATCTCACCATGAGTAACAGGTTGTCTGCATTTCTATTTAAGCTCACAGATTTGGGAAGTGTTGTCACAGAATCATTTCTCCCACACTATTGAAAATACTGTTTTAAGTATTTTTTATGGGTAACATTATATCCTATATCTTTGCTTACCAAAACAGTTTCTTCTCTGGGGCCTTCTAATTACTTGAGATTTTTGTTTTCATTATAAGAGGAAGTACAAAAGACTGGGGAGCTGACTTGGTGGAAGAGTGCTTGCTCTGAAAGCCTGGGAACCTTAGTTTAAAGTCCTAGCAGAACCATGAGGGTCAGATGGCAACATATGCACCTGAGACCCCAGCAGAGGGGGAGGGAGAGGCAGGATCAGGCATGGTGGACATGGTGACTACCAGCCCAGGTCCAGCTTCAGTGGCAGACCTGGTTTCAAGAGAAAAAAAAAATAATATAAGAGCAGGACACCCTGCCCCCTGTGAGTGTGATGTATACTCCCAAGTGCAAACACACACGCACACGCACACGCACGCACGCATAGGCATATATAACCCCCTCATACACAGACAAACACACAGAGGGGAACATATGAAAAAAGAAGACCAGTCACTCAAGTCTTTGTATATAAAACACTTTCTTCAGTTTTCATTATTCCTCTAACAAGAGAATCCCAAGATAGGCAATTGTAAGCTACCCTGCCTAAGCTCTGTGAACAAGCCACACTACCAGCCATGACCCAGCTTCCCATGCATCCACAGATAAAAGACACATACACAGTTGTTCAATTTCAACTTGCCTTTGAACACAATTGCTAGGCACTACTATCTCCTGCCTGGAAAGGTGTACCCTTAACAATATTCTTATCTCCACACCTCCCACCTGCCCTAAACTTTAGTTGCTGGGATACATCTAGTCCCTATTAAACATCTCTGACCACCCGCCTATAGGAGCAGCCACAAGACCCCACTCCTCCCAAGACTTCACATAGCTGTTTGGCTTTTATTTCTCCAAAGCATGGCAAACTTCCTCCCTTGTGTCTGTCTCTTTTTCTCCAGGGACCCAGAAGTTCTACCTATACTTTTCACCCAGCAATAAGTCCAAGGCTTCTTTACTGACATATCAAGAACCAATTGGGGAAGAGGACCTTAGCATCAGAACCACCCCTACATTTGCCAAACTACTTTCTAAAAGATTTGCAATACAGCTGAGTCCCACACTGTCACTGATAACATTTGTTAAACTTGCCATTTATTTGACTGAGTGAAAAATCTCACTGTTATTAGTGAATTGAATATTTTCCTGTGTATCTAAGTTCTTGAGTTCTTTTTGTAAAGGGCGACATTTAAGTTAAAGTGACATAGCATAATTATTAAATATCTTTTGATTTTTTTATAGAATCCTAGTTCTGAATATGTTCTATTAAAAATTATTGTTCTGTATTTTTGGTCTTAAAGGGCTCCAAATCTGTGGGTTTTTTTTTTCTTTCCTCTTACTCCATATGATTTGTGTAGCACAGGCTCTCAGAAGGCCTACAGTGGGCACTTTTGTTACTCAGTCCTTTCTTTCTCATTTTACCCCAAATGCTTTTTAGTCTGCAACAAACAGATTCCTGACTTGCAGGGTTCCCTGAAACATACTTTGGGAAATGCCATTGGGAAGGGGGTGTTGGAAAGATAAATCTTTTCTTTGAGCGAGTTGTGCTCACTGGCAAATGTATTCCAGAGGTCACAGCAGATGGCAGGGATGGTTCACAGAAATGACTTCGGTCTTGCTAACCACACAGTGTGAAAGGGAGCATCAGGTCAAGAATTCTATCGTAGAAGAACTGCCGTCTTTGATGAATGAGGTAGCAGGCTGCCTTGGGATCTGTTCATTGATTTCTGATACACATTTAGCTTTGGTAAGACATTCAGGTTTCCACTCAATTTGAAAGGTGTCTTTAATAAATAAAAGCATGTAACACATCTCTAAACTGGAGACTGATTCATGCTTTTTTACCCCACATTTATATTCTATTCAGTGTTTAAACCAAAGTACACCTACCATTCTTTTAAAAATGTATCGTAAAATATGCATACCTATAATCCTAGCATTCAAGAGGCAGCTAGGAAGATCAGGAATTCCAAACCATCCCTACCTACAATGGAGATTCAGGCAGCTAGCAGCTCACTTGCCCATTAAGTGAGTTTGAAGCAATGAGACCTTGTCTCAAAACAATTAAAAAGGAAGGAAGGAGGCTTAGGAAAGGAGAGGCTCTATAAACTGAGCATAACCCTATAGGATAAGTGCTTTTGTCCTCTGGGCCTAGTGAGGCCCCTGCCTTATGCTGTATGGGAAGCTGATATCAGTCACACGGCTTACAATTTTTCCTGACCCGTGATGCCTACAACGTTTGTTCTGGCCAAAGGAATTATGTAACAGAGACTCTGTCTACAACTAGCTTGTTCAAAAAATATTGATTACCAGATTAGATCAGGGTAAAGGAAGGGTTCAGTTGATTATGTACCTGGTCAACAAGCATGAGGACATTAACTTAGATTTCCAGCACCCACATAAGAGACAGGCACAGCAGCTTTTGCATCTAATCCTAGCACTCAGGGGAAGGGCAGGCAGATCTCTGGAACTCATTAGACATAAATCCTAGCTGAGTAAATGAGCTCTGAATTCACTGAGAGAGCTTGTCTTACAAGCTAAGCAGCAATCTAGGAAGGTATCTTAACAGTGGCCAGTGACTTCCACATACATATGCACACACAAGAACACATACATGCAATATATATCCATGGAAACCAAGACCCAAACAAACAGCATATTTGTTCCCTAAATTACCTTCTCCCATCCAGAAGTTTTGCAATTGTTGAATGAGGTAAGCTTCTATTTAGGGAAGTTTATGTGTGACCATGAGAGTCACCAGGTATTGTAGCCTAAGGTAAGGCATGAGAATTTCACTGCGGGTCCTGGCCATAGTGTTGTCAGATCCTGAATATGACAAAAAGGGAATATGTATGGAAGGGATGACAAGGAACCTGAGTTGGACAGTGGCCTGCTTGAGGTGTTGAAGCCAAAGGAGATGAGGGTGTGTACATGGTAGAGTGGGAATAGTTGTGTTGTGAGATGGGCTAACTCAGTGGGGATCTGCAGAGATCCAAAAAGGAAAGGAACCAGCAGTGGTGCCTCAGTGCTTGGTGCCAGAGCATGGAAGACACGTATTAGACAATAGAACCCTAGCCCTAAGATAGGGGTAAGGCTTTTACCTTTGAACAGTATAGTCTCAGTATGCAAAGAAAAGGAACAGGAGTGACCCTAGTGTTAGCCTTGAATTGGAGACATCATTGTGAAGCTAAGGCTTTAAGTGTGTGAGGACAAAAGAAAGTTGAGATGTGAAGGCCTGTGGTGGCTGTGTGTATGTTACTTTCTGGATCTGACTACCAAAGGCCTATGGTGGGCTGTGTCATTACTTAATTGCATTGAAGGTATGATGTGAGCAATCCCAAGCATACAAACACATGACTCCCAGACCTGGCTTGAGAGTGCTTCCCAAGAAAAGGAGTCCTGGCAACATGAGAAAGGACTATTTCCAGAGAAAGTGTAAGATGATGCTGAAATATCTTTTGTGTCCCAAATTAAGAAAGTATTCAGAACATGATAGTGGTATGTCCTCTAGACACAAGGCAAGGAAAAGGACCAAGAGGTTCCCAGTGATTTTAGTCTGGAGCATCAAATCAAATACTGAAGGCAGATGAAAGCTATGCATTTGTAGCAAAATAAATAAACAGCTAGACTCAAAACTTGAGGGATGGAATAGTTACATAAAATTTTTGCTACAAAATGCTTTTTAAATGCCTGTGTAGAGGGTACCCAGATATGAGATGATAGAATCAAGTGGTAAAAAATCATCATCAATAAAGGTCAAGTTGAGATTCATGAGGAAACATCTGACAGCTGAGACTCATTCTGCAAACTAGTCAAGGTCCTATAGATCTAGGAAAGAGTTTTTATCGCAGAACTAAGACTTACCCTGCTCAAGGCCACTCATGCCTCTAAACTACTGGACCAGATTCGATGGCATACTGTGCTGAGGCATACATACTTCCTGGTTGTGGTGATTAGACATGGTTATTCAGAAAAAAATGAGTGTGCATATGCAGGCGTGTGCGTGTGCGTGTGCGCGTGTGTGTGTGTGTGTGTGTGTGTGTGTAGATGATAGGGTATAATGCCAACAACTCATTCACAAACAGTGGAAGAAATGAAAAGACCTTTATTTGTTTCTAAAATTGTTCTATAGGTGTGAGACTGCTTCAAAGCAAAATTCACCCTGTGCACACATGTTCAAGCACCTGTGTCCTCTAAGAAACTTGATTGTCAGAGCACAGACTAAAACAAGCTTGTAAGCTAAGTGCATCCATTTCATCTCAGGCGCCCTGCCATAGGCAGACGGGGCTGTGGACTTGGATACAGCAATCCTCCCTCCCTCCCTGGGTTGTGCAGCCTATAATCCAATGGGAGACTAGAGCTTCACGGTTCAGACCTTCACTCTTCACACCTCCTAAGCTGGTGGCTAGAAGGATCCAGTAGTTAGGGCATGGCTGCCCATGTAAACTTAACCTTTTATTAGCACACAGAAAGCCCACAGAAAGAAGTAGCTTTTGGATCATTTTGTAAGCACTGTTGTTTTGAGCATCTTAAAGGCGAATCTGTTTTGAGTCGAATAATTTGTGCTGCTTTGTATGTTATTCAGCTGCTCAGTTTCTCTAATTAAAATGCACGGCTGCTGTCCTGTATCACATGCTGGTGAACTTGCTTCATTTCTAACTTTCCATAATTGGAGGCTGCTACATGTACCCAGTGAACACTCAATAAAATTAATTGAGAGTAATGATGATGATGACTAGATCCATGGTGTCATTGTTATTTCTCCCAACCACCCCCGCCCTGGAAGCTTGGATTGTTTGCATTTATAAGTTGTTGCTATGGAGTTGAAGGGATAGATTTGCTGAGAGCTTATGGTATATGATCCATAAAAGGTGGTCATGGTAGGTGTCTGACTGAATAGAAAATGTCAAACTTGATGTGGGAGGATCCATTTGGCTCTTGTGTTTGAGCAATATCTTTTATCCAACCCTACTTGAATATCAAACCTATTTTTGTCTTGGAGCCAGCATCTCCCACCTGTCTCTCTGTGGGTCTAGACCTCACCACAGATCCAGCTTTTATTACTTGGACCTTTTCTTTCTTTCTTTCAGGAAAGCCAGTGGAATGAACTTCTTGAAACTCTGCACAGACTTCCCATTCCTGACCCTGGAGTGTCTGTTCACCTCAGCGTGGTAAGTGGGGCAAGATGGTAGTCACTCGAAACAAGCATATCTGTATGGACCTTCAGAAGAGACCTGAACCGCACCCTTACTTAACCTGAGCCCTGGGTTCAAGGCAGGGTGGGATATGGGATTCTCCCTCTCTCAGAGTTTCACTGAATAATAGATGCTTCCCAAATGACTAGTCATATCTTTAGTCAAAGATTCAAGGAATAGGATGACTGGACCTGTCAGCCTTGTCAACCCCTGTCTTTGGCCACCTGTATCACCCTTTGTCACAGTTAAAGTCCATTCTGGACTTTCAGTCTTCAACACTGCCTCTTTCCTGTTTGCTTTTTAACTCATGAATCCTTCAGAACTATTCTAATTCTGTTTCCTGAGAAATCCTCCCTGAATTCTCAGGCTGAATTAGCCTTTCTTTTTAGCCCCAGTTCCCTTGCATGATCCTGGAGACTTAGTTTTATCCTGTGGGAGTAAGCTGGTTCTCAGTCTCCATCCCATGAAGACAGAGCGGGAGTACTCAGTATATTTCCTGGCCTACAGCACTCATTATTTCTTTGAGTGCTTTGAGATACATCCTGCACAGTGTTTAGTGTGCCACCTGATGGAAATTTTCTGTTTCATTTGTCTATTTTGCTAGTGATTGAAGTGACTTAAATCAAGACCTTTAACTATATAGGCTAAATTTCCTTATCTGACAGACAGAACATCAGAAGAGGTGTGTAGGATCTTTCTCATAATTCATTTACTAAATTCTTTATCTCTTAGTTGGCAGCTGTCATTGCCTTTATCAGAATTCTGTAGTGGACACCATTTGACCAGTTACCCGTGGTCATACAGACATGTCTCCCTATCCCAGAGCCCTGGCAGGTTAGAGAGTTTTCTCCTCCAGCTTCTCAAGAAGTAGTTACAGTGCAGGTTTTAGGGATCAGGAAGGTGTCAGACTTCATAAGGAAAACTATGAATGGTATCAGGTTCCTAATTTATGCTAATATACACCTCAGATGTTCAAAATCATTCCCTATGTAGGTGTTAACATTCTCATGGCATAGAGGAAAGGTTTAGAGAGGAAAAGGCATGCATATTAAGTCATGTAATTTACAAATGATGAACTAGTCTTTACAGTGCTAAGCTAATAGGAAAAAGGAATGGATGCAGGGAAGGAGGGAAGGAATTCACTTATGAAAGATTTGTTCTTAGGGAAGTAGGGACTGCCTGAAAAGATGAGCAAGTGAGCTTTAGACCCAGTCATCTCTGAAGCAGCACAACCCTGCCTTTGTCTCAGTCTTTTTTCCTAAGCAGCTTGATCTCACAGCTTCAGCCTGTAATAGCATACGACAGGTAGCTGTGGAGCAGCCAGGCTAGGTCACCAGCTGCCTGGGAGGAAGGGCCACTCCTTCCCCAAATGTCTGCACTGGCGGCATGCTGTCAGGCCTCAAGGACAAGCCAGCTCGGGGCAGGAGGAACTATTGGGTGTGCAGCTGTTTCATTCCAGTGGATTCTTGGAATGTTTCTGACCTCTCCTGGTCCCCAGCATTTCATGGGCGATGGAGCAAGACAGAATCTCAAAGGACAGCCTGGGGACTGGTTGGTTATGCTGGCTCACTCTTTACAATCCACTGCATCTGTAAAAGCAGATGTTCTCCCTCTCCACTAGTCATTCTTCTTCCCAAAATGCATTTCTGTTTTGAAGGTCTGGTATTTCATTTGCAGTAGAAATCCTAAAATATTTGTGAAATGCTTTATAAAGTTACAGCCTGGGCTTTGTATCTTTACCCATTTTCTATAATAGAATGTTCTTGTGTATCTGATGTAGTGATTGAGAAAAATAGAAATGCAAACTCGCAGTCTGAGTGATAATAATTGTAAAATAAAACTCTAGTTGTTAATCTGGGTGTGGTAGTATATGCCTGTCATACCAACATTCTGAAAGCGAAGTAATGAAGAATCAGTGCAAGTCCCAAAACCCAGTCTGATCTGTGTAGCAAGTTTAGAATAGCTGAAGCTATTTGTGACATGGCTCTGGTTTCAGCCTAATCTTCCACATGCTTACTGAGTGATTGATCTTAGACTATTTTCCTCTCTGAACATTAATTTGTCCATTTGCAGTATGGAGATAATATCGATCTTCAAATTTTATTGTGGCAACTAGAAGTGATGCTTATAAAGTATTTAATAAAAAGTTTTCCATAAGCAGGTGTTCAATAAATATCTTTTAAGTGTCAGATTAAGCAGCTCATTGTTACCATCATTGGTACAGCTTGTCTCCAGGATCTTTTATTTTAGAACGTCTATACAACTTACTTTTCTAGAAACCTACTTATTCTCCCATTACCCAGGAGTGTAAGGGGTTGGGGAGAAGGTCTAGATTTGAGCTTAGGCCATGGCTGAGCTGAACCTTTCTGCCCATGACCTTTCCTGGCCTTTCAAAATCCATCTTTAATTGGCCAGCACAAGGCTCCTTTCAGTGCCACTTGCCATTATCTTCTGAGCCTTTAAAAGCAGCCAAGGAGGTGGCATTAGTTCAGCCAGTTTTCATTTAACTTGGAGATATGGGCTTGTTACAAACATGGAGATGCCTCATTGCAAACCTTTGAAGTCAAGTCTTCAACCTCTCCCAGACTTCATGACAATCACACTGAAAGTCAGGAGCTTATTCTCTGTTGGCAACCATCTGTAGCTCTGTCATGTGGCATGAGTGGCCTTTGGCTGTAACTGTCCTGAGCAGATTTTGATTACAGTATAGATTGATGTGACCTCAGATGCTGAAATGGAGCAGCAGGATTGGTTGAGATATCCTGTCACTTAATGAGTGATTCTAGTGTTATTTTTTTGCTAAGAGTCCTCTGCCTTATTGAACAACAAACTACAGAACTGGCCACTTTGTGTTCAGAAACTCACAAAATATCACATTGGGAATTTAGACTTAAGCTTCTTTGATTTTTTTTTTTTCATTCATGTTCCCAAGACATTCATTTTCCTGCTGATGAGTTAATACTCCTAGCTTGGTCCAATGTTAGCCTAAGTAGTATATAGATATTTCTTAAAACAGCCATGTGGCTTCCTCATCTGTGTAAGGAAGATGCTTTAGAACATTTACCTAAATTTGGAATAAAGTTCTAGTTAAATGATCTTGAAAAAATATACAGCTCGTGTCTTTTCTTTTCCAGCATTCTTACTTCACTGTGCCTGATAGCAGAGAGCTTCCCAGCATACCTGAGAATGTGAGTACCTAGAAAAGGACTATTACATTTATTTATCTACAGCTTATGTTTTTAAAAGAAAAGGGTATGTTTTACAGTGGATTGCTGAAACAAATATAGAAAGCAATGGGTTATAATAGGAAAAGCAAATTGAAAATACCTACAAAGTATAGACACAAAATTTTCTTCATATTTCTCAAAGTAATCACTTATTAATGGTTGATATTAATTTATTCTGGTCTTTTAAAGGCATATTTACATAGCTTAAGATTACCTATTAGAAAAGCAGCTTAACATTTTCACTGATAAGAATTATTGTCCACTGCAAAAATCTCCATTTGAGGGAACTTAGGTTCTCACAATAGAGACTTAGGTTCTCTTTTCTAATATCATAAGATGAAATGTTCTTAGCAAAGAAATTCCCATGTGAAAGTTTACAAGGGCAGGTGTTCATAAGTATAACCACACTTCTGTGTTCATATCTCAGGAAGCTTGTGGTAAGTGAAGTAGGAGGACACTGTCTAAGGGCTGAGAAGCAATGGGCTAAAGTGGCAGATCTGTAGGCTCATGTTTGCCCTGTGAAGAAGCCAAGGGACATGTCTACCTTAGGACACAATATTTTATTAGGATTATAAATTGTAAAATGCAGAATGAAGGCTAAAGCAGCTACCAGAGAGGCACGTGGTGAAATATAAGTAGCATGAGATCAGCTCTTCTTCACTTCAGAAAATGCAGTGCAGTGGTTTTGAGCCCATTCACACTCTACCAGTCTTCAAAAGTTTTCATCTTTCAAAATTGTAGTGTGTGGAAATCATCATTCTGCTCTCTGATTGGGATTGTTGCCTACTTTCAAGCCCCAAATACCAGTTGAATTATGTACTGTTTGTCCTTTTGTGCTGGCTTATTTCACTTAACATAATACCTTTAAAGTTTACCTGTATTGTAGCAGGTGCCAAAATTCCTTTCCATTTAAAAAGATGTGACCAAAAGCACCCCAAAGAGGAAATTTCATACCCTGGATGCTTTTGTAAGAACAATGAAGTTGAATTTGAATTTGAGAAACTAAAAAGGCTGGGCACATAGCTCAGAGCATAGCACTTGTTTGATGTGTGCATGGTTTTCTATAAAGCATTGTAGAAAATCAGCTCAAGAAATTAGAAAAAGAGGAAATTAGAAAAATGATTTAATTTACTTTTAAGATAAAATTACAGACCAAGACTTTTTAAGAACTTAAAAAAAAATGAATAGGGAGAGGCTGGAGGGGAGAAAGGGAAGGAGGAAAGTGACGATCAGATTTGTAATTAAAATGTATTAAAAGAAAAACTTTGAAAGATAAGGAAATATCTCTAATAAATTTGGAAAGTAAAAAAATTTTCTAGAAAAGTGCGGCTGAAGTTAAAATAAATATAATATTGATAGCGAATAACTTGGGAAGAGTAAAACATTGCCATCTCCACTCCTGCCTCTGTAAATACAGCAGTATTTCACTTGCTTTGTTGGCATGTTCAAGGCTCTAGTTTATAGAAAATGTGTGTGTGTGTGTGTGTGTGTGTGTGTGTGTGATATAAAAGTGCTCTGATTACCTCATTTCAGAGGAAGTGCTTTTCAAGCTTTGCCTTTCTTTGTAGCCTCAGACAGTGCTGTCCAGAGTCCTGGTGGTGCTCATGGAGCCCTAGGGATATAAATGGGTGGGTGACCACAGTGCTGGTTGCCTGCCCCTGTGTTAGTTAGATCTGGTTAATTTATCACTACTTAAATTGGGAGTTGAGCAATACTTGAGGCCAAAAGATTCCTTTGATTTATTTAAAAAGACAAAAAACAAACAAACAAACAAAAAACATCCTAAGTTTAGAAGCTACAATTCAACAACATGCAATGACAACTATATTAACTACATACCTCTATAGATGCTTCTTTACCTAATGCTGTATTAAAAACATTTGCCCATGTCATTCAAAATCCATCACACACACACACACACACACACATACACACACAAATCAACACAGAAATGCATATTAAAAACAAATGCAAGCCTGAATTATCACGATCCTTTCCCCAATCTTGAAACTATGCTCCCTCCAGAGTTTGATGACTGTCCTCCAGAACTTTCCCTGTAACTTTATAGGATGACTTGGCGTAGGCATTGTAACTTTATAGGATGACTGTGCAATAGGCATTTATTTTTTTTTAAATATAAAAGTGATACTGTTCCCCATTGTTTTACTTGTGGTTTAAGTTAGCCTAAAAGTTGTTTTCATCTATCTACTATGTTTTGTTTAATGATGTGTGTAGCTGTGGTCCCAGTACCCAAACACAGAGCTTCACATCTGCTAGACAAGAATCTACCAGTGAGCCATACTACCAACCTTAATATTTTTGTTAAGTAGTACAAATAGTTTAGAAATCATAGTAATTGATAAAAGTCTGTAATCTCCAAGTATTCCATATGCCACAGAAGCAGTTACTTCCAAATTTTTAGCAATTGTATTTTCTATCATTTTTTTTCTCCCAAAGGTGTGGACCACCACCACCTGGCTGTACAATAGCATTTTTAAAAAGATTTTATTTATTTTATATATGTAAGTCCATTGTAACTATCTTCAGACACACCAAAAGAGGGCATCAGATCCCATTCTAGATGGTTGTGAGCCACCATGTGGTTGATGGGCATTGAATTCAGGGCATCTGGAAGCTTACAGCCCTGCAGCTCACAGCCCTCCAGCTCACAGCCCTGCAGCTCACAGCCCTCCAGCTCACAGCCCACCCAGCTCACAGCCCTCCAGCTCACAGCCCTCCAGCTCACAGCCCTCCCAGCTCACAGCCCTCCAGCTCACAGCCCTCCCAGCTCACAGCCCTCCAGCTCACAGCCCTCCAGCTCACAGCCCTCCAGCTCACAGCCCTCCCAGCTCACAGCCCTCCCAGCTCACAGCCCTCCAGCTCATCCTCCTGAGGAGCTAGTGCTACACCAGCTGCATCACCATACCAGCTCTTGCATCATTGTCGCACTCCAATCCTAGCTCCTGTCTGTCTTGTGAATCAATTGTTCAGCTCTGGCTGACTTGAAGCTTGTCACATTTAAGAATGGGTACTGAACATCTGACCCAAAATTCTGTGTTCATCAGCAGAGCTTGACTGAGTACAAAGGTGAAGACTCTCACATATCATCAAAACCTTTTCATAGGACTAGTCAGTTTTCTTCTGGGGAGTGTGATCAGGAAGGTGAGTGGGTTATGAGGTGACATGTGCTATGGTTACGATGGGTTAGTCCCCTTTTCTAGTTAGTCCTTTTGGAGCCATCCTCAGCTTTACCTGTTATCCCCAAGCCTTTCTGGTTCAGAACTTCTAATCAGATTACTCCCTCTGGACAGGTGCAGAAAGCCAGCTGAGGAACTGGGGCTGCAGAGAAATTTGGGAATGAATCACTTGTGCCCTTTTCTAACCTTTGGAGGCTGAGCAGCTTCACTTCTTGAGCTTCCCTGTGCCCTGTGTGTGAGCTGGGCTTGGTGCTTTTTGTCATGTCCACCCACCCACCTCACTCTTAATGTCCAGCTTTCTCTTTGTCCTCCATCAACTCTCATGCCACCTCGGACCAGGTAATCTTTTGTTGCCTGTGTCTATCTATGGATCATTAGGTTGGGTTTTTTGTTTGGTTGGTTTTGGGGGGCTTTGGTCTTTTTTGGGGGGTTTTGTTTGTTTGTTTGTTTGTTTTTTAACATCTTTGGGTGTTACTCACTATATGGTGGTATCAGTCCCTTCCTAGGCCTACTCCCTAAGCTATGACAGCCTAAAATGTCTCAGTCACTGCCCAGTGTGCCCTCAGACAAACCAGTTTATTAGTAATATCATTTTACAGTTTAGAAGGCAGATGTCTCTCTTTTATTCTTCAGGATTCATAACTTTAAAAATGCTTTTTCTTGACTTCTCCTGGGAGGGTGGTGTCAGCAGAAGAGAGAAACTTGGAATTTTTCTTTGAGGAAATACCTAGATGGGTTGTCATGTTTCTTCTGTACTAAATAATAACATGGTCAGCTACTTAGATCTAACTCATCTTTTTATTTTAAGTGCCAAGAATTCCTTAAGAACTGGTTTTTCTGAAGGCCTAAAATCAGCCATAGTCCTAAAATCAGCAATAGGCCTGTCATACATGTATACTAACACCAAGTCTTGGGTCTCTGTATAAAAACATTGAAAGAGATGGCTATAAGCTATTGTAAACAAGCAGCTTTTGTGGAAATTTACCAGCCTGAGTAGTCATAGACCTTGTAAATAGGTAGCCTTGGCAGACAATACCAACTTAGATAAGGACAAGTGAATCATAGGCAGGCAGAGTCATAGCCACCTGTCCCCTCAACTTTCACCCAGCCGATACCTTGTTCTGAAAGGTATCTGTATTCCCCCTGAACACCCATGCTCCAGTGTTATCCCCTTCCCCATGTCCTGCCTTTTTGTGTTTATAACCCCTGTGTGAATGAGTAAAAATTACGATTTGAAAAAAATAAATTATTAAAATTATATATATATATATATATATATATATATATATATGAACTTGATTTTTAAAGTAGCTGGAAGTTTGTATAATTTCTGAATTCTCAGCACTGTAACTGCTGAGGTTAGAGATATCTGTTTGAATGGTCTTCTCTGTAACACACCTACAGCTCCTATCTGCACTGTCTGGCTCCTGGCTGCACTGTGTGTTGCCTCCTCTATCCCCACCATTTTTGAAATTTAGATTTTCTCTGCTGGTTTTGCCTCTAATGAACTAATTCCCTGTGTACAATCCATTGTCTCCTAAATCCTCCTTTGCAAAACAGTAAAGGTCTGGTCTTGTTTGTTTCTAAGCAGAACAGTAGTACCAATCTGCCAGTCTCCTAACACACACCATTCCATTTTAATCCCTGCCAGCTACTCTGTGAGAGGTAGACATGAGCCCTATTTCACATGCACAGAGCCTGGTGCTCATAGGCTCTGGTTGCTAGCCTTAGTCTGCAGGTCAGTGGGGTGTAGCAACCCCCGTT